GCTGTAGGGTGTGCTTTGGGTCAAGATCCCTAGGGAAGGGAGTCAGCCCACATGCTCATCCCTGCAAAGCAGCCAAGCTGACACTTCAAGTCCTAAGCACAAGGTTCATTTGTACTTAACAGGGAAAGCCAGTAGACTGTTCTCAGACTGCCTCCTTCACCTCTGCATGACAATCTGCTAGCATCATTCTTTTGTTACTAAAATCTCAGCTTTAGCGGTAGATTCTTATTTTAGGTTGGCTCCTGTGTCCATTTGATACATCCCCATCCTTCTGGGTTTTTTTTTTTTTTTAAGCAATTCTTTATTTTCTGCTATTTCAAGATGTCCCAACCCTGGAATCACTCATTTCTTCAGAGAGCCCAGTTTCCTTTTAGTGGAGAGTGGAATTCAGAAACAAGAACTCGACAGGAGCGTGCTTACTGCTACTGGGATGTCATCGTATTTAGGTCCTCTCAGTGAATACAGCTCGTAACCCATGTGTACACACATCCATAAATATTTCTCTATCTGCCTAATAAAGATGTCTCCTTGAAGACTAATGTGTACTTAACCCAAGCCATGGTATTTTCAATTGCCTCATATGCATGTGAGAATGGGACAATGAACAATGAAGACCAAAGAAGAGTTGATGCTTTTAGGTTGTGGCATTAGCAAAGAATACAGAAAGCACCGTGGACTGCCAAAAGAATGAACCAATCTGTCCTGGAAGAAGTGCAGCGGGAATGCTTCTTGGAAGTGAGAATGGCCAGACTTAATGAACATGACCTACTTTGACCTACCTTGGTCATGTTGTCAGAAGAGACCACTGCCTGGATTGACACAGTGGCTGCAATGATGGGCTCAGGTGTAGCAGGGATTGTGAGACTGGCACAGGACCAGGCAGTGTTTTGTTCTGTTGTACACAGGGTCGGTATGAGTTGGAGGTTACAGCACCTAATGACAAAAACAATGTGAATATGAGGGAGCATTGGTGGTGCCGTGATTAAAGCATACAGCTGCTAACCAGAGTCGGTGGTTTAAACCCAACAGCTGTTCCACAGGAGGAGAATGAGGCAGTCTGCCTCCATATTTACAGCCTTGGAGACCCTATGGGGTGGTTTTACTCTATTCTATAGGGTTGCTATGACTCAGAATGAGTGAGTTAATGTAAATAAGAGTTTATACTGTTCTGTTCAACTAATCCAGCACAGTAAGGTTCATTACACACTTTCCACCTAGGTTAGTGATAGCCAACCACAACTGCCTTTGCAGCCCATGAGCCCACAATCTGCCATTTTACCTGCTGATCCTGGGTTAGTCATCCTCCAAAGCCAGGATCCTACAACACTGACCTTGGGTTCATCAGCCCCTGCAGCTGCGTGAGGCAGGGAAGCCTCCAACTTGACATCTGACCCATGAACTTGGGACTTGCCAGCCTCTACAATTTCAATTTCATGAGCAATTTCCTTAACACTCTCTCTCTCTATATATATATATATGTGTGTGTGTGTGTGTCACTGGTTTGCCATCTCCAGAGAACTCAGCCTTAGACAGTATCTCTCCAACCCTACTATTTTCAAGTAGTCTCTGAATTACTATTCTACGCCACAAGAAAGTTTCTGAGTGATGAAGTCCATTATGAAAACTACTTTCCAATGGCTCATTCACTTCAATGACAAAACACTCTTAGATTGGCTGTATCTGCACAAGGAGACAGCTCCAAGGGTGGAAGTGCATGGGAGGGAAGGACACGGGGAAGACGTAACTATGGGAAGTGGAAGGGAGCTGTTGCATTGTGGGAAATTTCAGTCAATGTCATGAGGAAAAGTATATGTGAGCTGCTGCATAGAAAGTGAATTTGCTCTGTAAATTTTCACCCAAATCACAATTAAAAAAAAAAAAAATCTCTTAGTTTACTGGTTCATGCTTTCACTTTACCGATCAATATATTAGTTATTTTTCTGGGGTGGCATCCTCTGACCTCCTTTAACTTCATGATGGGGAGAGAGAATCACCCACACCAGCATCAGCCCAAGGCTGATTCCTATGAGGTGAAAGTCTGACATGCCACCCTCCAGCCTTTTTTTTTTTTTCTTTAACCATCTGACACCAACCATCCCTCCTATGGCACTCAATATTTCTCTGCTGGATTTGATAATTTGTTGCGATGGCTACACAGAACTCAAAGATAAAACTCACCATTACGGGGTTGGGTAAACTACAGTTTACAACCTAGGTTACAATCAGGATACAATTCTTTAATCTAGACAGCCTCCCCTCAGCCACGCCCACAGGCACACCTCTCTTTGGCACTTGCTATCTTGGCCTGGCCTCTGCTCTGCTTGGGCAAATGTTACAAAGCTCTTCTAACTCTGTCAATAGTTGCACCCCACTCACCAGCAAGCCTCTTGCCCAAAGCACTCAGCTTTCTCACTTCATGGGCTGACAAGCCCGCTGCTCTGTCTTGTGCTGGTCTCGTGGTTATGCTGCCTCTGCTCCCACCATCTCAGTGCAGAGATTTTGGTCCAAGAATGCACTCCACTTCTGCCCGCTCCTTCTGTCTTGATGATAGTGAGATCATCCCTTCTGCCTCATTTTAAGGGAGGGCTCCTTTTAAGCCTTGCAGAATGGCAAAACCAACCAATCCCCACATTAGGGTTCCATACTCCTTATTTCTAGGGTCTCACCAAATAAGGGTGTCATGTACCTTATTTACATTCCTAACAAGCTATCCAGTCCCCTTGGTGGGCCACAAGCATCTTACATTTGCATAATTCCTCCCAGTCATCTGGCAGGAATCACAAAGACCATGGCTACAACAGCCATAATAAGTAATTCACTGCACTGCACTCCCCTGTATAACTTTCTGGAGTGACAGAAATGATGGACATTTCTCTCAGTATATGTGTTCCAGCCATACAGAAAGCTACAAAGCCTTGCTCATTACCTATACTGTCCAAATTGATAGTTAATAGTCACATATGGGTAATGAACACTTCAAATATTGCTAGTGGTATAATAAAAGTTGTGGTGCAGTGAATTGCTTGGTATGGCTTTTCTAGCCATAGTCTTTGTAACTTCTACTGGATTACTGGGTGGGGCCATGCAAATATAAGGTGTGGTGTTGGGATTGGTTAGTTTTGTCACTCTGCCAGGCTTAAAAGGAGCCTTCCTACAGACAAAGAGGGGATCTCACTGCCATCAAGTGAGAAGAGCTGGAAGTGAAATAGAGTGCATCGTTGGACCCAAGATCCCTACAATGGACCTCCTTGGCAGAGAAAGACTCTCAGGAGAAAGACACACCCCAGCAGAGAGAGACAGGCTGGAAGAGACACACCCTGCAGAGAGATGGTCAAAGTGGAACCAAGAGGCATGAGACAGAGCGGCGGGCTTTCCAGCCCACGGAGTGAGAAAGCTGAGTGCCCTTGAGCAGGAAGCTTACTGGCAGAGCGGGGTGCACACAGGGGTACCTATTGGCAGAGCTAAAAGAGCTCTGTAACACTTGCCCAAGCAGGGCAGAAGCTAGGCTGAAAGGCCAAGAGCCAGAAAGGTATGCCTAAGGGCATAGCAGAGAGGAGACTGTCCTGATCGAAGAATCCTGAGCATGTTCCTGAACCTGAATTGTAGCCTGTTGCTTCCCTAATAAACCCTATAATTGTGAGTATTGTCTGTGAGTTGTGTGTGGCCACTGCAACAAATTATCAAACCCAGCAAAGAAGTGAGTGCTGTGAAAGGGATGGCTAGTGCCAGAGTTAGTAAAAAGGTTGGAAGGTGGCAGTATGCCTGGCCTCTTAGTAATCAGTCTTGGGTTGCTGATGGTAACTCTGTTTCCCCCTCATGAGCTTGGAGGAGGTCAGAAGATGCCACCGACAGTCCTTTTTGCAAAACTGAATTATTAATTTTATTCCTTACCTTTAAAATTTAAATAGTCACATGAACTACCATGAAATTAATTAATCAACCTGGGGAGATAAGATATGGGCATGTAAAATAGCAACAACAACAACAAAAAAAAAACTGATTTGTTTCCTAGGATGGTTAAGTATCATTAAAAGGAATACTTAGTTCAGGAGTCTGTGGACAGGACAAACAGTGAAAATGCTCAGTTGCTAATCAAAAGGCTGGAGGTTTGAGAAGCTCCAGAAGCCTCAGAAGTGAAGTCTGACAGTCTACTTCCAAAAATCAGCCACTGAAAATCCTTTGGAGCACAGCTCTAATATGACACACACAAGATCACCACTAGTAAGATTCACTTAATGACAATTGGTTTTTCAAGAAGAAATTACCGTAAGAAATGTTTAAGACTTTCTAACTCCTAAAGAGCTAACTAAATTCTGTATAACAATTATTCTATGTCTATTTCATCTAATGACTAGATTGCTCATCCATTGACTACAGTAGTTGGAGAGTTACATTCTCTGGGACATAAAATAACACACAATTGATGACTGAAGGTACTGCTACATTCGCTGGATTAATAAGCTTTCTCCCCTGTGTAATTTCTTTGTTATTTCCTGAGGATTCACACCTGGCAACAGGCTGTCCCAGAAGGACTATGTTTTGATTTGTTAGGAGCTTGCTTGTGTTTAAGGAAGAATGGGATGCAAAAGAAAGCATCTGCCCACTCATTGTATTAACAGCGTTTTTGTCGTTCATGAGATCACTGGTATGTGATGAGTTGTGACTTGCTGCAGAAGGGTCTTCCACTTTGCCTGAATCTACATGTTTCTCTCGTGTGTGTGTTAACTTATGGTTAAAACGATCAAGCATGGAGGCAAATTTTTTCCCACACACATTGCAGACATAGAGTCTCTTTCTTGCATGAACTCTTTCATGTAAATTTAATTGTTTCTTTTGGTTGAAGGTTTTCCCACAGTCAATGCATTGGAAGTATTTCTCCATTTTATGAGTTTTTTGACGCATATTGAACTGTGATTTCTCAAGAAGGACATTGCCACAGTCCATGCCTGCATAGGAGGACTGTTGATGAATTCTCTGATGAGCACTGAGACTTAACTCACGGCTGAAGCATTTTCCACATTCACTGCATGGACAGGGTTTCTCTCCTGTATGAGTTTTCCGATGCATACCGAGCCCTGATTTTGTGATAAACAATTTGCCACAGTCTGTGCATTCGTAAGTTTTTTCTCCTGTGTGAGCTTTATGATGGTTGGTGAGCATGAACTTTCGGGAGAAAGCTTTCCCACACAGACTGCATCGATGGGGTTTCTCTCCTGGGTGAATTTTCTGATGCTTATCGAGCTCAGATTTCATGGTAAACACTTTGCCACATTCCATGCTTTTATAAGGTTTTTCTACTGCATGAGCTCTCTGATGTTCAGTGAGCAAGTACTTTTTAGAGAAGGCTTTCCCACACAGACTGCATCTATGGGGCTTCTCTCCTGTGTGAATCATCTGATGATTCATGAGCACAGACTTCCAGGAGAAGCCTTTCCCACATTCACTACATACATGTGGTCTCTCTATCTTGTCAGTGTTGTGGTGCTTCACGAGTTGGGACTTCGTGTTCTTGGAGTTTTGACAATCAGAGAATTTGAATTCAGCATGAAATGGCTCATGGTTAGCATGGAGAAAGAGTTCTTCATCTCTATTAATCTTAGCAGACTTCTTTATTTCATATCTTCTGCTCTGATTGATCAATGTTAAAATTGATTTCACGGTTTTTCCATGGAAGTCAAACATACTATGATTTTGCCTGAAAGCAAAATTACTTCTGTGCTGATGAACAGTATCTTCTAATACATTACTTTCTTGGTGCTGTTCCAGTCTATTCACCCCGCTTTCTTTGTGCGTGTTCCCCAGAAGATGATCACTAACTCTGTGGATTTCTGAAAAAGAAGAGAATAAATCCTTCCATCATTTTGACTTGGAATAACGCCATTAAAAAAAAAAATGCTTTGATGTGAAGTGACTCTTTAGTGACAATCCTATGAGTATAAATCAACTCCATGTTGAATGTTCCTTGCATGTAGTAAAACACAGTAATACAAATAACCCGTAAGATGAAAGTTGTGTAGAAAAAAGGTTAGAAAATACATAATGAAGAAATATATATTTTAAGATTGCAGAAAGGGCATGGGGATGACAACCTCTGACCTCCTCTAATTTCAAGAGGGAGACACAGAATCACCATCAGCAACAGCCCAAGGCTGATTATGATTCCTATGAGGTGAAAGCTAGACATGCCACCACTCTCCAACCTTTTTACCAATTCTGACACCAACCTTATCTTCCACAGCACTCTCCATTTCTCTGCTGGGTTCAATAATCTATTGCAGTGGCAACTCAGAACTCACAGATAATTCTCACAATTAGGGGATTTATTAGGGGAATAACAGGTTACAGTTCAGGGTCCAGAAGGCTCAGGATACAGTTCTTCAGTCAAGACAGCCTCTCCTCTGCTGTGCCCACAGGCATAGCTCTCCTTGCCTCTTGGCCTCTACCCTGTTCAGAGAAGTGTTACAAAGCTCTTTCAGCTCTGCTGATAGGTGCACCCCACTCTGCCAACAAGCCTTCTGCCCAAAGGCACTCAGATTTCTCACTCCGTGGGCTGGCAGGCCCATTGCTCCATCCTGGTTCTGTTGCCTCTGCTCCCACTGTCTCTGTCATGGCTCTGCTGTCTTCTCAGTGCAAGGATCTCAGGTCTAAGGATGCATTCCATTCCAGGCTCTTTTTTGTCTTGATGGCAGTGAGATCCTTCTTTCTGCCTCTGAGACACCTCATTTTATACCTGGCAGAATGACAAAACTGACCAATCTCCATATTAGGGTTCCACACACATTATTTCCATGGTCCCACCCCCACAAGGATGCCATGAATGTTACTTACATTGCTAACAAGCTAGCCAATCTTCTTGGTGGGCCCCAAGTACCTTACATTTGCATAGTTCCACATAGTCCTCTAGTGGGAGTCACAAAGACCATGGCTAGAAGAACCATACTAAGGAATTCGCTGGCACCACAGGTATACCTCAACAAAGCCCTGCAAATCATTCAGAGAGTGTAAAATATAAGGAAATCACTCTGAGCAGCAGACTACAGAAGTTGGCAAGCCACTTGATCTAAACTAGGGAAGAAAAGACTCATTCCACAAGTCCTTGTTGAATGACAACTATGTATCAGATATGCGCTACTAATGGATATACACAAACACATGTAGTGCAGTGAATTACTTGGCTCTTCTCACCATGGTCGTTATGACTCCCACTAGATGACTGGGTGGGACTATGCAAATATGAGGTGACCATGCAAATGTGAAGTGCTTGTAGCCTACCAAGGGGATTGGATAACTTGAATTATTAAATGTAATTAAGGGGCATGGCATCCTTGTGAGGATGGGACCATGCAAAAGTGTATAGAACTAAAAAAAAGAAAGAAAGAAAAGTGTATGTAACTCTAACATGGAGACTGGCCAGTGTTTCCACCCACTAAGCTTTAAATGAGCCATGGCAGAGGCAGAAAGGGGAGGTCTCACCATCATCAAGAAAGAAGAGTCAGGAATGAAGCACATCCTTGACCCAAGATCCCTGTGCTGACACTTCTCCACCCAGGAGACAGAGAGAGAGAGCTGTAACACTTTGCTGAGATGGTGAGAAGCAGCAGCAGAGAAACAGCAGCAGCAAAGGCAGCAGAACCAAGAGGCCAGCAGGAGGAGACTGGCAGGCTCCCTGCCCTACAGAGCGAGAGAGCTGAGAACCTTCAGGCAGGAGGCTTGCTAGCAGAGTGGGTACCTCTCTGGGCCCCTATCATCAGAGCTAATAGAGCTCTGTAACACCTGCCCAAACAGGGCAGAGGCCAAGGTGCTACACATCCAAGAGGCTGAGGCCAGAGAGACACGTACCTGTGGCCTGGCTGAGAAGAGGCTGTCCTGAATGAAGAACTGTATCCTGAGTTGTTTCTGATTCTGAATTGAAACCTGTTACTTCCCCAATAAACCCGGGAATCATGAGTATTGTCTGTAAGTTCTATGTGGCCATTGCAATGAATTATTGAACCCAGCAGAGAAGTAGAGAGTGCCATGGGAGGAAAGGCTGGTGTCAGAACTGGTAAGAACGTTTGAGGTGGCAGCATGTCTGACCTCACCTCATAGGAATCAGCCTTGGGCTGATACTGGTGGTAATTCTCCCACCTTGTGAAGTTAAAAGAGGTCAGATGCCACTGTCCCCATTTTTACACAGGCCTGAAAGACCACATGACCACAGGAAGGTGGGCTGATTCAATCAATGCCCACATATGAGGCCCCAACAAAGGCTCTGGACACAGAAGCCCCATTAGGTTCTTAATTGTGGAAAGACTTTGATGCAGGTGGAAGGGTAGCGTGGCCTTTTTGGGAAATGGAAGCTCCATACTGGAAACCCTCCCAGACACCTCTATATGAGTCTCTTTGTTTGTATCCTTTTGCTACAATAAAAGTGTAATTGTAAGTATAGCACTCTCCTAAGTTTTCTAGTGAATGATCAAACCCAAGGTAACAGTAGGAACCAGCAGGTCAGGAGTGAGGGGAGTTGTTAACCCCTGAGCTTAAGGCTGGTATGTTGTGGGGTAGAGTGTATCATATAATTTGCAGTCAGTGGATCAGAAATGAAATGATCTCGGGGGACCCTGGAGTTTTCAGCGGACATTCTGAAGGGGTTGTGGGGGAACTGAACATACAGCCAAGAGATCAGAAGTAAGGGGACCCCCTCATGACTCCCAAGCTTACAGGTAACACCTGAATCTTGGGCCAACTTGGCAGTCTAGAGAACTGTGTACTGTAACTTGTGAGCTCTGACCTAGCTCCAGGTGGTTAAATGCAGAAGTGCTGCATGGGCAGCTGCTGTCAGAATTTAACAGACAAGTTTTAAGTGGGGATTTTATTTACAGAAAGACATAATGTACACCCATTCTTCACTTACTGACATGGTTAGGTTCCAAAGACCAGGTTATTAAGAGAAAATAAACATTATGCAAAAATGGAGGATGACCACACCAACTTACAAAATGGAGGATGACTACATCATTGCGTAACTGCCAAATTCCACCATCACATAACTGCCAAACCACTGAAAAATGAGCCCCAGCCAAGGTGAAACAACCTTAACGATCACAGCCAAAGTTACTCTCACCTCAGCATTTGTTACTGCTAGATGTAACTCATTAATGCACAAAACAGTCATATAAATTTTTACTATTGTTATAAATGCTGAACATCAGATGATGAAATAGTAAGTGAGGAGTAAGTGTGGGAAGCTCAAGACTGAAAAGTAGTTTGAAGGGGGTATATGGGGAGAGGTGGAGGAAAGTGGGATACATTTTGGTGGAAAAGAAAGCTCACTGATGGATTCACTGCTGCCTGGATGAGGATGTTGTTGTTGTTGTTGTTGTTGTTGTTATTTGCCATTGAGTCGGCCCATGGATGAGGATGGGAGGAGCTAAAGCAACTGAGGAATCAAGGATCACTCCTAGTGTCTGGCATGAGGATAGTAATGTCTTTTAACGAGATGGGAAGTATCCTTGAAATACAGGATGTAGAGGAAATCAAGTGAATATTCTGAAGCATATCAACTTTAAGATGGTTATTATACAGCCCCCTACAGAACTGAAGAACCATGAAGGATGTATAAATCTTGAGAAGTCTTGACTCTTGCTTCCAGGCAAAAATATGGAAAACTTTAGTGTATAAATATTACTTAAGGACAGAAAACAGAATCAAATCACATTCAGAGAACATGTAGATTAAAAGAACATATAGGCACAGCATACCAATTCAAGTTTTGGAGTTGGGAAAGTCCACCAATGATCACAAACATCAATCATTTAGACCAGGGAAATACACAGCCATAGGTGCTTAGCACAAATACCCCGGAGAGCCAAGTCAGACTGTCCAATCCTCAGCGTTCTGTTTGGAGCTAACTGTCATAGACTCCCGGGTGGTGATCCTGTTCCTTCCATCTACCTTTCTCCATTCTGGAGACCACCACGTAACATAACTTCTCAAAACACTAATTTCATTATTTTATATGGAAACTTCCTGTAGGCAACACTCCAACCATTGGTCGAGCTAGGCCATTCTCCTCTATTCCCATGGAAAGAAGGTATCAGTGATCCTTAAGAAATATTACAGCAGGACAAAGGAGCCCAAAGTCTCTAGAAGCAGACCAGTTGCTGCACTGGCTGTGGGGTCTGCCACCTTTCTCTCCATGCTGTACCTGCACGAGTTAAAAAATCATGAGCAACAGCAGAGATCTTAAAGGAGTGGGCATTGCACATAGGTAAAACTCAAGGTAACGACAAGATGACTAGAATGAAGAGGCACAGTATTAACACCTGAATGTATAGGGCTGTCTTAGAAAGACTATGATTCTAGCTGTTTGTGGATATTGGGCTATTGGTGTTGTCACGTGAGTAAAATACACAGAATTAAAGTCTATTTGGGTGACATGAATGGTTATCATCCTAAGCTGCTGTCCAAAAGCTGGAGGTTAAAGTCCACACAAAAGCACTTCACCAGAAAGGCCTGTCATTCTACTTCTGAAAAATCAGCCACCGAAGAATTCTGTGGAGCCCAGTTCTCCTCTGACACACACAGGTTGCCGTGGGTTGGAGCCAACTCAGTGGTAACTGGTTAAAGTCTACATTAAATGATGTCACGGGAGATGTCAAGTGGCAGTCTCCTCTAGGGAACAGAAGGCGCTCCACTCACTAGAACAAAGGAAACTTTAAATACTTGGACTGTGGCAGAATGAGTTCCTGTGTGTGGCCTTTTACCTCGGTTCTTTGGAAAAACAGCTTGAGTGGATTTGTTTCCTCTAAACCTTGAGGAGTTACCTTTGCCCTAGTTTTTCACCAGAAGGTTTCTTACTTCTGTCCAGGTTGACTGACATTTCCTGGGAAGGCTGTCAACGACTTCACGTCTGATATTTTTGTCTGGCCCTCGACTGTAGCCTGCCCTGTGATTGGATGACTCTTGCAGGAATTGGTCAATAGGCTACGTAAAAGAAGTGACTATATATTATGTAAATGAAGTGACTATAATCTACCATGCAAATGAAGTGTTTAACAAGGAAGACAGTGACAGGCCCAGAAGAGGCCCTGTGGTAGTCTGTGATGGCAGAAACCTGGTGCTAGGAATGGAGTTAAGAGAGCTGAACAAAACCGATACCCTGGATATGAGCTGGGTCAGTCAGTAACAGAGGGGCCAGTGGCAGAGAGGCTGGCACAGCTGGGAGAGGCCTGCATGACCAAAAGGAGGTGTGTCCTGAGGGGGCCGAGAGGAGGCTTGGACTGAAGGGGCTGAGAGAAGTCCTGCACAGATGAGAGGCATTATGCACAGCAGAGAGAAGGGCTGGCTCGCTCGCACGGGAGGAGCCAAGAGAGCTGCCCTGCACTGAAGGGGGAAGCACTCTCCACTTCAAAAGCGCCTTCCAGACCTGGCCTATTCACTTCCTGACCCTCATCCCAAGTATCTTGTTAGTAACAGTATCGTGAGACCCTGCCTGACTTCAGAAGAGGGAATGAGAATCAAGATCAGCCCAAAGCTGATTCCTATGAGGTTTGCTGACCCCAAGTTGTACACTGTGTGGTGCACTGAATTACTTAATGTGGCCCCTTCTAACCATAGTCTTCCATTCTGTGATGTATGATAAACACTAGCCTCTATGCCTGTGATTAGGGTCCCATTTTGGAGTGAGTTGTCCATTATGTTAATGAGGCAGGATTAGGGTGTGATGCACCTTGAGGATGTGTCTCAAATCATCACTCTTCACCACCTTACTGAAGTCACACCCGTGCTTGAGTTGTGCTTTTTATGTTACAAAAGATAAAAGGAGAGAGATACTAACAGAGAAGGGAAACCAAGACGAGACAGGAGCGGAGCACGTCCTTTGGACCTGGGGTCCCTGTGATGGGAACCTCCTAGATCCAGGAGACAGTGAGCTGTAACACCTTGCTGAGACAGTGAGAAGCAGCAGCAGAGTGATGGCAGAACCAGAGACCAGCAGGAGAC